GTCGGTAGCAGCTGTCTCCACTCAGGCGTATCCATGCATGCTTGCGTGTGTGGTCCACTCTGTGTGTGCGGATTGGTATCCTGCATGTCGGGAGAGTCAAAAGCTTCGCATTCATGTGACTGGGAAGTACATGGGAGGCGAGACGGAGCAGCCTGCAAGAAACGAATCTCCTTTTTCCGTAAAGGATAGCGTGGCTAACTACCTGGAGGTCTATCCTAGCCCGCACGACAGAGCCTGGCAAGCTACTCGTGTGCCTTCAATATGCCGAAAACAGCAATATGGATGGGCCTCATTCCCCTGAACCTGAGGGAGCCCCCAATACGGCAGCGTTGGGTAGGACCGCTCGGGAGAGGCTGCTAGAATCTCAGGGCCCGGATAGGCTGCCTAAACGAAGAAGGACTAAGATGGCGCGAGTCTTAACTTTCAAAGCACACATGGCGCTGCTCATCCGAAGCTCACATCGAAGATCTGATGATGCAGGCCAGGAAGATCAAGTACGACGTCATCGGACTGACCGAGACGAGAAGGCACCGCCCGCTACACGCCGTTTTCGATACTGGAGAAGAACTGTTCCTTGGAACATGCGACAGCAGAGGCGTGGCGGTCCTCGTCAACACGCACTTGGCCATCAACATCGATTCGTATAAAATCCAAGCGACCCGAATCGGACGTTTGAGTCGAGAAGATTTGAGATTGAACAAGATGTGGTTCAACTCCTGCTTTCAACAATCTTCGTCGCCTACGCACCAACATCCAGCTACGACGAAGAAGAAAACGAAGCATTCTATATAGAATTAGAGAAGTTCTACAAAGAACCTTTGTTGAAGTCATCATCGGCGACTTCAACGGTGGCAAGAAGCACTGTACATCGGTACTCATTGAATGGACTGGAATGAGCAGAGCAAAAGACAATCTAAGTTCATCATATCGACCAACGGGGTAACTCACATTTCCAAAAGCCCTCTCCCCTTCGTCGAACTTGAGAGTCACCTGATGGACAGTTTTATAATGAGAGACCAGATCGTCTTCAATCGAAGGTTTTGCCTGACTGACGTCGCGTTGTTCCAAAGTTCTTAAAAAGAAGGGTGAGCAACTTCTAACATGCAAAATTTTCTCATTGCCATTGATTGTTTCTTTTCCAATTTAATGACTCTAGGTAACTTGAGGTCCGATCCTTTGGACTCGGAAACGCCCCTACCCCCCCCCCCCCATACTTTCCTATTTACTTCACACTCAGAATTTGTTATTCAATCGTGCGTTTAAGTTTTTTTTTTCAGTTACGGGAGTAGAGACCAGTGCTAGGACCCTTTTTTCCTGGCTTGGTGTTGATGTTTAGCTCCTTTCAGATGAAAATCGCCATCACTATTCTGGTCTTGATACTTTTGATGAGCATACCTCCATCACAATCGATCTTTTGGGGGCTTCTTGGTGGCGGGGGTAACAGATGTTGCGGCTGTTGCTGCTGTTGTGGTGGCGGCGGAGGACTTTTTGGCGGTTTATTTGGCGGCCTGCTCGGCGGCGGTGGATGTGGCGGAGGTATGTACTTTATACAACTATCCTAAACAATAATTCAAAATTGCGACCGTAGGCGTCCAGATTGTCATACTGCTCTCTCATACCCCATTGTATGCGAGATGCATTCGCAAAGGGGTGAAACACTGATACTTACCGTTGGCTCCCATCCTACATATTGAGAAACGGCCGGGCTGGTTTTCCATTGTTCGGAAGCAATGGAGTTTCTGCTCAGTTTTGTCCGGTCTGGCTTGAGTAACTGTCTCCCTAGTATGATTACCTTAGGTCCTCTTTTTTCCTCATCTTACAGCTCACAGTAAAGCTCCTTTCGTCGCCATGTCCGTTTGTGGTGCGATATATACACGCTTGCACGTAGGAACGCTGATCTCCAATCTAACCTTGGAAAAAATAACGGGAGCGGTTTTACTCATAAGATCTAGGTCGTGAGGCCTTTCGACAACCAAAGTGTTCTGCCTCACAGCATTAGCCGGAGAGCGATCGGATTCGCTGGGTCATCTCATGCGCTAGTTTTCGATGAACCTACTGTGACCTACTTGTGCAAATTACGCTTTCTCTTTCTCCTACTAGAGCGGAGACTTGTTCGATGATTGTGTCACTGTAACAATTAGGAAGTTCTTTCTGAGCAGGTGTGATGTTTTAACACAAAATGGATAAAGGAGAGTGCTTCTCACAGTTTAGCATTTCTCACAGTGAGTTTGTCACGCATGGCGCCACACAGAAGTAGATAAAGCTCTCTTTTTCTAGCTCTTTCTTAGGGATGCATGTTATGCACGAGTGGCAAACAACTATATTAAATGCAAGATGACAAGCTTCTGGAAAAGAGTCATGGTGATAATTCAAAACCTTTCCGAAGGAGTGCAAAACCGCTGCTAGAGCAACCGGATGCTTTGAAATTCTGGATCCGCCAAGAACGCTGCCATTAGCGATTCGTCTGAGATTGTGTGTTCCTTAATCCTTAATTTTGACCAGCTGGAGAGGATACATGAGCCTTCATAAAATGATGCAGGCAAGCGAATGATCTTTCAAAAACTGATTCAGGCAGGCAAGTGAAGGGTATGAGTAGATGAAGTGAATCGCGAAACTATTTTGCGTTAAGAACAAGCTCAAAGGTTAAAAGCAAAACCAAGGCGAGCCTTGTGCTACTCCTGCCAGACCCGATCGCTCACCGACTGCACCACTGAAGCACAACAGCTTTGTTGTCGGAAGATTTTAAAAACTGGGCATCACCGGCAAACCGCTCCCGTAGCTTCGATCTCCGTATAGTTCAGCAGAATGAGAAGCCAGACTTGAGTTCAGCATTACAATGCGCATACGACACATACCGCTCAACTCGGAAGACAAAGGCGACTTCAGGGGTTGTCCTTCGCAGAATCAGTCAAAGGGGTTAAAGTAATGAATTACGGAAAACGTGCTCTCATTCATAACTCACGTGACAGCATTACTTTTATTCGCTCTTACTTCTTACGTAATGCGTTATATACTCAGCGCAAGACGCTGGAGACTTCGCATTTAATGATGACGGTAAAACCTCTCTCGAAACCACCTTATATGTCTCACCGATAAGAACCGGACGTAAGCTGCAAACAAAAAGTAAAAAAAACAATTTCCCGCAAAAAGAAGATGATTATAGCCCATCATCAAACATGGCTATCATTCAAGGCTGTCTGAAGATCCACATAAGGCCGATGTCAGACTTTGCGAATCGCGCGATTCGCTAGCGTCCGCGGTCGCGTTGCGGTACCAGCCAATTGAGTGATTCACTGGCCGCGACGCGACCGCAGACGCTAGCGAATCGCGCGATTCGCAAAGTCTGACATCGGCCTAAGAACTGTCTTCTAACTCACTAGAGCAACGTTTAGTCAAGCTGCCTTATCATCCCTCCTTTATTTCATTTGCCAAGCCTGTCATATATTTGTTTTCAGGTCTTTTTGGAAAGAAATAGTCTCAGCAGTGCCCATTTAACCGGTCGTCAGAGATGTTGTTGACATTCCGAAGTGCTACTGATTTACATTGCGTTATGTACTTCCATTATTGTATTTTTAAGTGATAAGTAGATAATTTGGTCTAGGGGCACAATCAAATGAATAATCTACAAATGCGGGTGGTGGGGTTCAGTGGTCAATCTTGAGATATAAACTGGAGCCACAAGAGATAACGAAGCCGCGGAAAACACGAAAAATGATTTTAGTTGTTGATCTTGAGCATTGCACTTTTTTTTACGAAGGCGAAGCTTGATGAGTTGGCCTTTCGTTCAAGAATTTGGAACAAAATGACGCTTTTTTTGCTAGAAATGTGCTAGAAAATAAAAAGAAAATTTGCTAGGAAAGCCTATTCTGCATTTATATCTTTACTTCTACATTCCTTTCATTGTCGTGAATGTGGTACTAGCTTATTAGCAAAGAAATTCAGGAACTTCCAATTTGTCTCGTTTTTCTCTTTTTTATGTGTGATCAATGGGCCTGGCTTGTTTATAGCAGTGGAAATAAAGAGTAACAATTATATAATGACATTTGAGGCTCACGCTTGTTCAGTAAGTGGCGGTCGAAAGGGCAGCACAGCGATGAATATCTCCGACGTGGCACGCATGTGGGCATTGCGGTTTGTCTCAACAGAATTTCTGAAAGAGTTCATTTTTCTGTAGTGAAGACGTTAGTCATAGTGAACATGTTACGTAGGTTCGTCATGCCCCATGGAACACAAGAGCAATTCGAGGATTCTATAAACTGCTGATCGAGTTGGGTTGAAAAACCAAGAGGGCATATTATTACACAATAATCTGGAAGAATCTCTGTTGTGTTGAGAATACGAAAACGGGAAGAAATTTGAAGCGAAGCTAAGCACTCTGCTTCGAACAGATTTTGCTTGGGAATACCGCCCACCACAATGTCGTAATGTTCACCAGTTGCCGCCGCACGCTGTTACGCGCACACACAGTTCTTCGGCAATATGGAATAGTGCGGTGTGAACTCTTGAATTTGGCCTGATACACTACGAATATACGACTTGTGAGCTAGCTCAGTATTCTATCCGGTTGTCTCATGTCCCGTCCACCGATGGCTTTTCACCTTCGTCAACCACAATCCGCTTTTTCCCGATCTCCAGACTGCCCCTCTGAACCAATTTATGAATCTCGTGTTAAAGTTCGCCCATTTCGCTGCATTTCCCACCCACCTCTTTTCTTTTTTGCCAACCACTCCTCACTTTTTCCCCGGTCTCCAAAAATCAAGAGTTGCACGACTCAATTCGACTATTGCTTGGCGACAATCCCTGCTCTTGGTGCATGTTTCCCACACCATTATAAATCTCTTGATCTCTGGAGCCTCTGGAAACCGAGTTATAAGCAGGGTCAACCCTGCGTTGCGCGAATTCCAAAATTTTCACGACCCCTTCCGCATTGAGATATTGTCTCTCACTTATTTAACACGTTGCGTACCGGCGCTCTCTGTGGATTTCCCGCGCGCGTGGCCACGCGATTTTTTTTCGTCTCGCGGCATGCATCACCATGTGATGCACTTGGCCACAGGGAGCGGTTTTTTTTCTCAACAGTTCGGATATTTCTCTTACTGAAGTCAAAATTTCTTGGGATATGTTTTCGCATATGGAGAACAACATAGGTGCTTAGAACTTCGTAATGTAAGAAAATATTCTGCTGTTCGCACCATCTTCTTGACAACTATTTGATTTTTGGTCTCTGTTTGATGAACAGGAGTTCTATAAGATCTTAGCCATTTGTTTTCATATAAGCATCGAGAAGGGGTCAAACATCAAAGAATATGGGTCTACAAGAGTTATAGAGCGGACCTTTCGCAGCCAGACTAACGACAAGAAACCGATTCATTGATATTTTGAATTCTCTCAATTTTGCTGGCAGAGACGCGTCGGACAAGAGTAGTCGACCTTCCAAGAACTTTAGAATGATTGCCTAGGTGCCATCAAATTCAAAGAAAAGGAAAAGAATGCGCAGGATATTTGCTTCGATTGCTTGATTTGTTAAGACTTTATTTCTAAAGGCCTAGTTATCACTTTTTAAGAAGTTTACGAGTTATCAATTCACTCAGATTATCCTTCTATTTTATAAAGCGCTAACTT